GGTGATTTCATTGACATTTCACTAAATCTGTATAACAGTTTTAAAAGTATGGCCATTTTCACTGTATTGGTTCTACCTATCCAAGAGCAAGTGATATCTTTCAATTTTCTTGTATTCTCTTTGATATCCTTTCCCAGAGTACTGTAGTTTTCAATGTAATATTTGTATAGTTTCTTAGATTTATTCTTAAGTATTTCATTTTTCTTGATGCTATTGTGAAAGGTGTTACTTCCTTAAATTTCTCTCTCAGTGAATTTGTTATTTTTGTATGGGAATGCTATTAATTTTTTAGTATTGACTTTGTATCCTGCCAAGGTGCTGAATTTGTTTATTAAATCTAAAAGTCTTTTGGTAGAATTTAGGGTCTTCTTTGTAGAGTATATCCATGTCATGAGCAAGTAATGATGTTTTAACTTCTTTCTTTCCTATCTTTATTCCTTTTATTTGTTTTTCTTCTCTAAATGCTTTGGCTAATGTTTACAGAACTTTGTTGAATAGGAGTGGTTATGGTGGACATCTTTTTCTCATTCTGGATTTTAGAGTGAAAACTCAGTTTTTGACCAGTTTGTGTGATATTGGCTGTTGGTTTGTCATAAATGGCCTTTATCAGATTGAGATAAATAACATCTGTTCCAATTTTATGTATGGTGTTTATCATGAATGGATGTTGGGCTTTGTCAAATGCTTTTTCTGTATCTACTGAGATGATCCTTTATTGATTTGCGTATATTGAATTAAAGAGGGCTGGAATGTAGCTCAGTGTGAAAGTCCTGTGTGCAAGATCCCTAGTACTGTTAAAAAGTTATGCATTTATGAGATAAATACTAGACTCTAGTTAAAAGTAACAAAGGAACAGAAAATCAGGAGACTTAAAAAATTCTAATAATTTCAAAGTAAGTAACTCCTTTAATAAAGACATTCATTACAGAAAGAATGCTTTGAAAATTGAACTGTTTTCAGTAATGAAATGTTATTTTTCAAACACTTCTGAATTATTATAATTTCTTTTATAATATATATTTTATAACAATTGTATTTTATATTTTATTGTAGGTCTTTAATATTGATTTTTCTAAACACTATTACAAATGAGAAAGATGTGGACAGTATCATGTTACAAAATTGACATAAAATTTAAAATCTTATAAAATAAGTTATAATGTTAGAATAGTAAATATCATAGTATTGCAAAACAAAAATGTTAGGATCTAGTTAGTGGGTTAATTGCAAAGTTTGTTCAACCTTGCTTTATGTATATTTATTTTATAATAGAAAATTGACATATAACAAAAAAAGGGCATAAAAAGACAAAAGATAGATTTTGAAGACTCAAAAGTAGGAAGAAGATATGTAGAAGAAAAAGAGCAAAAGTAAGTGAGATACTGCAGCTGAACATTCTAAGAAACACTTCAAATCTATTAAAATTTAAAAACATTGCTGAAGAAAGAATAAGCAGTGTTGAGCAAATAAAAAATGCAGGTAGAATGACTCAACTTCATTAAAATTTCTAGGTGAATTAATTTATAAACACAAAAATTGAATAATGTTCTATTATGTTGAGTTTTTTCTGGATTTAGATAGTTATCAACAAAGTTCATTTAAGGAAATAAAAGTAATTAGGATGATCTTAAAAACAATGAATAATTATGGTGTGAAGGACTGTCTCTATTGGGTATTTAAATACATTATAAAGCCTTTATAATTGAAATTTTGGTATTAGTACATGAGTGAACAAAGAAACACATTCTAGTAATCCTGAAAGACGCAATCATGCATAAAAATTTCATATGTAATAATAGTACCTCACATGAGAGATGACTATACATGTGTTACAAGTAAAAAATCTACCACTTACATTTGGGATAGCTATATAGAAGAAGATAAAACTTTGATTTGTTCTTCACACTATCTACCAACATACAATTCAAGTTTATCAAATATATACCTCCACAAAATAAAATTATGCAAGTACTAAAAGAAAACATAGGTAGAGTCTGATACTCTCAGAAAGGGAAAACTTTCTAATGGTAGTTCAGAGTCTGGGACTGATAAAACTAGAAAAATCAATAAATTTTTGGGAAAAAAAATTTTAAAAATATTGTTGGAAAAAATAAAAGTAAAGTAAAAATGACAAATTGGGATATATATTTGCAAGCTATCAAAGTAATTATAAAGTGTTTAATTAATGAAAAAAAAGGCTACATTTTGAATACTTTGCCAAAAAAAAAGTTTTTGTCTCTCCATATGCAAAGATGTTCAGCTTCCCACATCAGAAAAATGCACATAAAAATGCTATGGTAGCATTGCCCACACACTTTATTCAAATTCAAGTTTAACAACATAGTATTCTATTGGTAAAGTTACAGACCACATATACTGCTTTATTGCACTTAGAACAGAAAAATAGTGAAGCCCCCTTCAGAGGGAGTTCACCAATTTACTGCCAAAGTATGGATAAATTCACCCCTTAATAATATAATCCTACTTCTTAGAATGTACCTCAAAAATACACCAAAAGTAGAAAAAGTACATACACAAGGCTCTTGATTAAATTATGTTTTTTTGCATATTAAACATATTTGCTCTTCTAAAATTGTTAGTTTTATATTATGGGATAAACAAATGGATAATTGTGGCACTATCATCAAGAACCAGCATTTTCCTGTTAAGAGAAAGTGCGTGAAAGTTTCAAGATTGAGTAAAAGACCTGCAGTCTTGAGTTGGTTTCAAGAGTAGCAATGTGTGTTTGTGATGAATTTTATCTTTCAGAAACAAATCTGCTATATACACTGTCAAGCTCTCTGCTGATGACCTACAGTGAGCATAAGACTGATGGGCATTTTAATAAGTCATGTAGAACACAAAGTATATGAAATATGAGATATTAATATGTATTCTCAAAATGAAATATACACAGCTAGGTGTGGTGGCATATGCCTGAAATTCCTGCGCTCTGGGAGTGCAAAGGCCCTGGATTCAATCCTCATTACCAAAAAAAGTGGGGGAGGAATAAACTTAGTAAATTCTGAATTTTTTTCCATGGAGATCATACTTGACATTGTAATGTTAAAGGTTTTTAAAAGGTGTGTAGTGTGTAAAGAAACCTAAAGATTATTTTGGTGGTTATATTGTGGGTGTCAAGAGCTCTTTGCGTATTTTGCAAGGGAAAGATTTAGTGTTGTGGGACTTTCACTGGTTCTTCATGACACAAATGTACCATAGAAAACAATTTTGGAAATAGCACTGTGGAAGTGAAATGCAATCTGTGGATAATTATTCTTAATAAAGAGAAGAGAGATATAATGAGAATCATTGGCATAGTGTACTTATTGAATACATAATTTAATAGAAGTGTTGCTCAGTATCTGCTAGAGGCTGAATGCTAAATATTGTATTCCATCCTGGGAGTACAAGGGGAAAAGAAAAAAATTTAAAAATGTCTGAGAGAACTACTGATAGAACATTAAAATAGTGCTATCATTAATGCTAGAATAGAACTTTGGTATGTTTTATATCAAGTTTTAATTGAGATGGAGGGGCTATGTGTCAGATTTTTGGGTTCTCTCTCAGAGGAGAACTAAGTCATAATGGGTGAAAGGAGAAAAGACATCCCTATCAAAGCAGAAACAATAAGTAAACATAAATTAACACTGACAATGTGAAATAGGAAGAAAAGGGCTAAAGGTGTAGGGGGATTGGAAGGATAGGGGAGAGGAAATAAGGGAAAAGAAAAAATAAGAGAAAACGAAATAATGGAAAGGGTGGAGGGGGTAAAGGGAGGGCAGGGGTATGGGGAAAAAATGAGAACCAAGACCTGTCAGGTGAAGATACAAGATCCCAGTGATGAATGTAACTGTACTGTATACCTAAAAGTACCGATAAACTCAATGAAAAAAAATTAATTAATTAAAAAACAATACTCATCTAAATTTGGAAGAAAAAGTACACAGAAAGAGTCCAGCAGTATCAATGTAATAAGAAGAATGTAGGCTTTGAGGTCTACGAAGCCTGAGTTATCTTCAGTGCTGTAATACAAAATGGTATTGGGAAGATCAGTCAATTTCTATGAAGCTCAGTTTTCCTATGAGTAGAATAAGACTAAATAATCTGTGATTTACAAAGTAAAAAGAAAAATATGTATTGTTTTCAACACAGCATGGACACTTAATGATTTGTTTTTATCATTACTAGAAAAGTGGGAACAAATGAGCAATGACCATTTTGTCAGGGGAAGAGATTTAGACTTTCTGGGAAAGTCATTGAAGGATTCTCAGTACGGGGAGCAGATGATCAGCTGTGTAGTTTGCAAACATGAATGTGAAGGAATGAATAGCTGAAGAGAGATACTTAGCGTTGCACCCCGATGACAGGTGAAATTGATGAATCGGGTCATTGGTAAGATATCCAAAACTCTGCAGTCTTTCAGAGGTAGAACTGACAGGATTGCTATACACGAGACCTAGATATGTGAGGGTGAGGAGTACAGAGAAAGAAATAACATCATTAGGGATTCTAGCTGGAGTAGCTGAGTGTCTAATTCACATAGCCAACACAGCAGGTACAGGAGGCATGTAAAAGGTAATGAGTTAAGTAGAATGTAGTATGCTTTCTATTATTTCCTTGTTGGCTTTTCCAGAACAACCAAGCTTTGAAGATGTGAATGTGATAACTCAGTTTCTAATCCAAAAATTCTTTGATTCTCTGGGACCACTATATATGTTGAATAGTGTATTAACTTATTGTAAAAGCTGTCATTGTAATCCTTTGAGGTTTTACCTCTAAAGTTTATTTAATAGATTAGAATGGTTAATATAAAGTACTCCAAAGTAAAATACCAGTAGCTACTGAAAAAAAGATCTAACAAGGCTACCCAATGTGGATCTGTGGCTTGCAGTCTTATTCTCCCCAAAGTTTGTTTTCTTTGTGCATGACTGGAAGTAAATATACATTTAAGATCTGCTCAACACCAGTCTCTGTATGTTTCCTGTTTTGATGTGCAGGACAGGAGAGAATTGGAAAAGATTCCAACTATGAGCAGGAGGGGAAGGTTCAGTTTGTGATCGATGCAGTCTACGCCATGGCTCATGCCCTTCATCATATGAACAAGGATCTCTGTGCTGACTACCGGGGTGTTTGCCCCGAGATGGAGCAAGCTGGAGGCAAGAAGTTATTGAAATACATCCGAAATGTTAACTTCAATGGTGAGTCTCCCCCTGTCCGTGCTTTCTCTGTCTTCTAAGCGGTTGACATTCCGCGTTTCATTAAGCTCTGCCCCTGCCTTGTTATTTGCTCATTTGAGCAACCTACCTTATCGTGTAATTTCAAATGATCAAGTCAATAAGTGAATGAGTAAGTGAATACAAGTTTAGAGCTACTGAGTGCTCTGGATTTTGAAATATGTTGTTGAGATGAGTGAAGAAAGAGGGAAGCTGAAGAGAAAGGGACACTTTGCGGGTTCAGGAGCTAATTGAGGTGATTGACCATGACAACTGTCTCTTTAGTTATAAACTTACCGGTCGAGGTACAAAGCTCTGCTGTAAATTAACAGGCTGCCTAAAAGAGAGAAGTGTGAATGGACAGGAAATATAGCTAAATAATGTAGAATACATGAGGGGAAATTCTTTTTCGGTTTTGGTGGTGGTGGTGTGATGTTGTTTTTGTTGTTGTTGTGTTGTTTTGGGGACCGGGTATGAAGCACGGGATCTTGCACTGAGAGGCAAGTGGCGACACCATTGAGCTAAATCCCCAGGAACTCTATTTTCTGATGATACCTTTTACCATATAGTCTTCTCTCTAAAACGTCTTCATGCTTCACATACCAAAAACTAAGGAAACAATTTAAATAAGCCTGAATATGTAAGTAACAAAAAATTCAGTAGATTTCCTAACAAATTCTAACTCTATTACAAATGAATAGCATAATCATACTGGAAAATATTTTATTGTTTTCTGCTTTAATTGAGTTTATTGGTACATTTTAGGGATACAGCACAGTTACATTCATTGTTGGGTTCTTATACCTTTACATGACAGGTCTTGCTTCTCATTTTTTCCCCTTGTCCCTGCCCTCCCTTCACCCCCTCTTTCCCTCCCCATCTATAACCACTTTATTGGAAAATATTTTAAAAATGAAAGAAATTTTGGAAAATATTTTATATAATGCTAGAGACAAAAATATATGCAGATATTGCCTGGTAGCTAGTAAAACTTGTAGTATTTTTTCATAACTCAAACCAACATATATATATATATATATATATATATATATATAAAAAAAACATATATATATATATATATATATATATATATATATATACATATATTTGCATATATACACACAGTAATAGAACTAAGGAAATATAACGTGGATAATGTTTCTCATTGTCAACGACAAAAAATCACTGAGAAAGGTCAGAGAAAGCTGGAATGAACCCTGTTGTGTTGGACTAGAGTCACATATACTAGCATGAATTCACACTTGTGCTAATGTGTGGACATAGACATGAACTTAGATATGTTTCTGAGTCCCCTTCAGCTCTCCACCCCCACCACTTAGGTCTCTCCACTGGGTGGGCCTGGGAGCAATGGTACCCCTGAAGAAATGAGCACATATCTCATTTAAACGCACTACTCTTCAATACAAAAGAACCAGAGCTGCCCAGAGAGATAGTGAATCCAGGGCCAGTGCAAGGACAGTACAAGATGAGCTTGAGTCATACCATGCCAGAAGGGAGAGCTAGTGCTGGTCCTATAGTAACATAACTGCTTGCTGAGAGTAGGAAGGAGCTTCACACCTAAAGGGGTCACGATGAAGGATATAGGAACCAATTTGGAAGAAATCCCGTTGCTCAGTTCTGGGACCACAAGGGATTTTAACTCATAAAGTAAAAATAATTATAGAAGTAAAAAACTGAGTTGAATAAACAAATGTATGAGAGTAGGTAATATGATGGAATGCCAAAAGCTGGAAATACAAAATCACCATTTTGCGAAGTCCTCAGTAATCCTTATTTCAGGCAACAATCACTGATGAATGCTAACATTACTGAGTTAAAGTATGATGAGAACAAGATATCTGCATGGTTTCAAAGTATCTTTAATCAAGATGCATATTGATTATTGGGGGTGGAGCTTTGTAGTGGAGAAAACTGGAAGGTAGCACCTTGAACAAGTATTCAGGAAGGAAGTCTCCCGTAATAAGACTTACCAACCTCATATGTGTCTTGATATGATATGCTGGGAATGTTACAGCATTCTCTCTGTGATCTTCTTTTCAAAATACGTCTATGTTAAAGTGGGTGCATGGCACATGCCTGTAGTACTAGCTTCTCAGGAGGCTGATGCAGGAAGATCACAAGATCACAGGAGTTCGAAGCCAGCTTGGGCAACATAGTGAAATTCTATCTTTTAGAAAAAAAAAAAAAGTGTACAGGTCATGAGCAACAGAGATGCAAGAACTGTTCCAGATGAGAAGAGACAGCGAAGGTGTTATTATCAAATGTAATATGAGAACAACAATTGATCCTAACCCAGAAAATGGACAATAATGGGACAATGAAGGAATTTTAATAAAATTTACATTTTGGTTTTAATAGCACAATATTAATTTAATTTCTTGGCTTAGTTGGCTGCTTCTGGAGTGAGAAGCAGCAGTCATGTAGACCCACAGTGCTTCACTGGTCTTGCAGGAGTTGGTATCTGGGTGAAGAGATCCAGTTTGTTATTCAGCAGTTTTCTGTAGAGTGTATTTGAATTTAATGCCTAAATTTAAAAATTCCCAAACACTCAAGAGACTGAAGTAGGAGGAGTTTGAGGCCATCCTGAGCAACTTGGTGAAACCATGTTTTAAATTTTTAAGAAATATAAAAGCTCAATCCTTTCTGGGTTCAATCTCAAAAACCACAAAAATTGATAATATTAAATATTTGAACGAATGTGGGACATCTTTCCATTTGTTTATGTCTTCTTCAATTTTTAAAAAACTATTTTTCTGTATATGTCTTTCATTAAATTTTTCATAGATATTTTATCCCTTTATACATAGGATTGTTTTTAAATTTCTTTTTTGCACAATTTGTGTTAGTGTATAAAAATGCTACTGATTTGTGTATATTGCCTTTTGTATACTGAATCTTTCCTGAATTTTTTTATTAGTTCTAAATCTTTGAGAGGTTATCATTGGTGTTTTCTTTGCATGTAATCCTATCATCTGCAAAAAACGATGGGGACGGAAGTGACTATTCATAAAACTAGACTGTAACTCAAGTAAAAATTATCTTTTTGTAGTTTTTTCAGACCTTACAGAATCACTTGATAACAAATTTTCCCTGAACCAAACAGAGTAAGTTTCATTATGTGTCACATACTAAATTACATATGCTGAGGTCAGTTTCAGGGCTTTGCTTTCTAGCCCATGGGTATCTGTGATCATTCTTACACTAATGGCGCAAATTTTTTTTAAAAAAAAAAAAGAAACAAAAAGAAAAGAAAAGAAACATTGGAAACATTGTGAGAATGTTCTTGGAGATTCTTATCTGAATCTTCTGCTCAATGATTATAGACTCCTTGTGCCAAGACTATCGGGACTGCTAGTAAATTACACATGCTGAACTAGACGTAGGGCTTGTGTGTATGAAATGATTCCTTTTGCTGGAAAAGGTGCTGAATACTTTGTGTATGTTAGCTTATTTATTCTTGAAAATATAGTGATGGGTTAGATACTATTATTTTTCTCATTTTTTAAATTCATTAAGTTTATTGGTACATGTTAGTAAGCACTATAATAATATTCATCACTGGGAATTTGTACCTGTAGGTGATACATGCTGGTTCTTATTTTTCCCCCATTCCCTTGTCCTCCCTTCAACCAAGATTTTTCTCATTTTTATAAGGAAACCTACAAAGAAATTAAAAATCTTGATATCCAAGTGAAACCTAGGAGCGGCGGCATCTAAATCCTCAGTCTGCTTCCTTGACTCTTAGGCTTGAAGTGGCTGAGGGCGAGGGCTTCCTGCCTCACTCCTGCTGGCCCATCTCAGGTCGAAGCTCCTGTGGGCATTTTCCACAAGGAGTCACCTTTCCCTCTTGTCATTATTGTCTCGCTCTGTGGCCCACGTAATATTTCTCTGAGGTCATCTTTCTCTTCCATATGGAAAGCCAGAAGACACTTGGCTTCTGGGGCACTGCAACGTTCAATGATGACACCGCTTAAAAGTTTTATGAAGCAAAGAAACTGTGCTCAATTTAATCAGTGGCTCCCGTATCACTTTAAATGTGCAATTATTAGAGGGAAAAAAATTGAAATGTTTTACTCATTTAGCTTTCTGAGTTTTAGATAAAGAAATAAAACTGTGGAAAGGAGAAAATATTTTTCCAAGACTTCACAGCTAGAAGATGACAGAGACAGGTCTAAAACTCAGATCTCAGGTGGGAGATTTAGCTCAGTGGTTCGGCCGCCGGCCTCGCAAGTGCAAGATCCCTAGTTCGATCCTCAGTACCAAACAAACATAAACTCAGGTCTCTTTCCAATCCAGTTTAACTTTTAATTTGCATACATTAGGCAAATTTTTATATTTCTTCATCACAGCAAGCTTGATTGTGCTGAGCTAGTGCTTTAGTAAGGAATTTCACTTACCCTTAGGAGTTTTGTTCCAGACCAGCAGAGTACAATTTAATAACTCTGACCTTCACACTTAGCAAAGCATCAATTTAGGAAATGATAATAGAGTATCCCAGAAGTTTTCCCACAGCTCTTTCAAGTCCTTAACCTCCTCTTCTGAATGGAGAAAAATGGCAACTTTAATCTTCATCACCAGCTACCTTTTCCTGCATCCTAAATGAATTTGAAGGCCTGAGTGCAAATCTGTTTTCATTTTCTGTGTTGGCTCAAGCCACTAAAACATTAAGATGTACTTTTGATGTCTCGGACATAACACCTTAAAAAAATTACTACGTGTAATCTGAAGTGTGTCTGTACTTAGATTTCCCGAACAGAAATAGAGGGAGGTTATACTTTGCAAAGATGCCATATCTCACATGGTCTTCTTTCAAGGGTATGTGTTCTTTATCGCAGCATAAGGTCTTTTTCCTTCTTCTGAATCTGAGGGAATCTGTGACTATTTTGGATGTGACATTATGAGACTTCTAAACCATAAGAGGTAGGACTCTGCTTGGTTCTCTTGGATATTTCAGGGATAAACAC